TTACCCTACTGTTATCTTCTCCATAGCACATATAATCACCTGACCTGTTCAGTGTTTAATGTTTGTCTTCTAGGACTAAAATGGAAGCTCCACAAGACTGGGGATGTATCTGTTTTAGTCACTGTTGCATTCCTAGCACCTAGAGCAGAATCTGGCACATAGGGGTGCTCAATAAATAATTGCTGGATGCAAGAATGAGTGAAGGAATTAACTCTTTATTTAGCATATAAGGCCCTTAGTCATTTTGTCCCTGCCTTCTACTCAGCCTTCAGACTCATCTCTTGGTAGATGTAGCAATGCCAGTTAGGAGCCCTGGTTCCTGCTACCCCCCACTGACGGCGCTAGACCATGGGCAGTGTTTGGGAATCTGTTGTTTTTTGTCTCTTGCCTTGGTAGGACAATTCATTAGCTTGTCCAGAAAAAAAAAAAGGCGGGGGGGGGGGTACCTCTTCTGTATCACCACCTTCTGTAGGACTACACATTTGGCCAGGAGGAATAGTGACTGACATCAGGGGCAAGAGGGTAGGCATTCACAGCTATGAGGCATATATCATGAACAGCACCAAGCACTTTATGTGCATTTAGCCCCACAAAAGTAAATAGTTAATAATGCTTTAAATGTGCTTACAAGCATTTGAACCCACAATAATTAATACTCAAGAGGTGCATCTGTCTCAGTCAGCTCAGGCCACCATAACGACATACCACAGATTTGGGGCTAAAATAACAGAAATCTATTTTCTCACGGTTATGGAGGTTGGAAGTCTGGGATCAGGATGCCAGCATGATTGGGTTCTAGTGAGAACTCTTCCTGGCTGGCAGATGGCCGCCTTCTTGCTGTGTCCTCACATGGTGAAGAGACAGCAAGGGCAAGCTCTCTGGTATCTCTTCTTATAAGGTACTAATCCTACTATGAGAACAGATTATGAATTTTGGGCAGGGGGCCAGGAGCAGAATACTATTGGCTGAAATGCAGCCCCTTCCCCAAATACACATGTTGAAGCTCTAACCTCCAATGTGATTGTATGTGAGATAGGGGTTTTAGGAAGTAAAGTTAAATGAGGTCGTATGGGTGGACTACTTATCTCATAGGATTGGTGGTCTTATAAGGAGGGGGAGAAAGAGGGGGGGTGGGGATTGCGATCATTCTGTCTTTCTTGAGTGCACACTCTGAGGAAATGCCATGTGAAGACAGGGTGAGAACGCAGCTGTCTGCGAGCCAGGAGGCGAGCTCTCATCTGGAACCCAACTGGCAGGCACCTTGACCTTGGGCTTTCAACCTCCAGAACCATTAGAAACAAATTTCTGTTGTTTAAGCTACTCAGTCTGTGGTATTTTGTTATGGAAGAGTGAGATGGCTAATAAAGGGGGGAAATGGGACACAAATGATTGGGGGCCATAATTATAGATACCATGAAAGCCTGAAAAATAAAAATATAAATAAACTTTAATCACATGGACTAATCCAGGAAAAATTAAGGATTTTAAACTCTTTGTGGTTAGTTTGGCCAATCTTTGGTAATTTGATTGGTATACTTTATTATTATTATTTTAGAAAGAGAGAGAGAGAGCATGCAAGCGAGGAAGAGGGGCAGAGGGAGAGAGAGAGAGAGAGAGAGAGAGAATCCCAAGCAGACTACATGCTCAGAGCTGAGCTCGATGTGGGGCTCCATCCCACAACCCAGGGATCATGACCTGAGCAGAAATCAAGAGTTGGAAACTCAAAGAACTGAGCCACCCAGGCGCCTCCAGTATACTTAAAAAAAAAAAAAAAAAAAAGATAAAATTCACATACCATAAAATTCACCCTTTCCAGTGTACAATTCAATGGGATTCAGTAACAATTTTTTCTTTTTCTTTTTTTCTTTTCTTTTCACAAATTTTAAAAAATATTACCTGTATTACCTTTGAGGAAGTTCTGCACAGTGGAGGAATTTTCCTTCCTGCAGCTGTGAAGGCTCATTAAAGGGAGCCAGTGGTGCCACTAAACCCCTAGGGGCACCGGAGCCACAGAACTGTCTCCCCTGCTGGGAGCAGCCTTACCTAGCGTGGCGAGGAGCAGGCCCACGGCGTGCGGGTTGGTGGCCAGGGCCGGGCCGATGCCAGGGTGGATGGCTAAGTTGGCCAGTACTCGGGTCAGCTTGATGAGCACGTCCTCCGCGGGGGCCCGTGACCTCTGCACCTTGGGTTGCTGGGCTCCTCCCGCCTGCTCCTCGGCGCACAGGTCCAGTTGGTAGAATGTATGGAATAACGACAGCAAGGTCGGGATGCTCCCTTTCTCTTTGGAAAACTGTTCACGAGCCTGGTGATTTTTCGCTGTCAGGTTGCCAAGAATAAAGACAATACGGACAACTAAATCCTGCAATAAAGGGAAGACCGTTACAAGTGCATAGGGGCTGGGACAAGTTGTTGGAAAGGGTACAGTATTTAATTTATTCACGACTTAATTAATAGCAAAATGGAACACATCTGGCTTCTACTAACTTGTCTAGTATTTGAGTCCCAAGACTGGTGCAAATTGACAGAGGAGATTAAAAGCATTTGGCAACATGGGGCGCCTGGGTGGCGCAGTCGGTTAAGCGTCCGACTTCAGCCAGGTCACGATCTCACGGTCCGTGAGTTTGAG